ATTTATCTTTCCAAAAAAAGATTATGTTGCCGTTTCCCACACTCAATTTGACATTTTGAAGAAGAGAATTCAGCCCCTGAGAGATAAATTTCCAAGGATTTCTAAAGGATCCTCTAGTCACAATGTTCAAATCCCAGCCATTAGGTTGCAACCCATACTTCGTGTGACTCTAGCCCATGATGAATTTTGTTCCAAAGGAAACCAACACAACCTCCATTTTGCTTACTCCTCGTAATGGTGTCCCAAGCTACCAAGCTCTTCAATTTACCACCCTCCTGGTTGTCCCAAAGAAAAGACTGCATAACCCTCTCCAACAGTTAAACTACCGACCCAGGCATCTTGAAAAGGGACATATAATATATTGGCATACTTGCAAGAACGGATTTGTAACGCCCCCAGCACTAAACCAGTCTAAGGCCGAATTTAGCGAGGTGGTGCTACTTAAAACATACTTTCTATACTTAAAAAAAATAATGTCATTTTTAAGATGCGGAAACTTGTGGTTGATTTCATCACAAACTTTTCCTAAAAGTTTTTGAACAAAATGAGTAAGTGCGCAACCACAAATCTTAAACATTAAATAGTTATTCAAAAGCGACATAGTAACAAAACAAAACATTTTGAGCCCATCTATTGTTTGGAAGTACATATAAGCTAGATGCCAGATGTAAAACTTGGAGTACTCAACCAACCTTGGAAATCATTTTTCTTTTTACTCTTCGGTAACAACAACATCATCTGCATCACAAAGTAAAACTAATGAGCAAAAACTCAGTAAGTAGATTTCAAATAAAGTAAGTATTTAAAATCTCTGTGGCTAAAATCTCTTTGTTAATCATTGTTCATAAACTTTCATACTTATTCTTAGTTTAGGTATGATAGAGAACTTCGGTTTCAAGTAATCCTCTCTATACATGACCTTCTCTAATTTTGGCCAATTCTCTTCTCTTAAACACTAAGCGGGGTTTTTAGAATCTCTTTCTCTTGTGATCAACAAGAGACTTCCCACTAGTATTTTTTTCTAGTTGTCTCAAAGAGACATTTTCTCTAATTTGGGGCACCGGTCCCTCGCCCCCCTGCTTCCCCAGCCTCTCATCCATATACCATACCATAAAATCTCTTAAAACATAAAAACATAATAAGCAAATATCATAATCTCTTTCAAAATAATTAATCATGAATACTCTTTGAACATAATCATATAGGGTCTTGTGATGCAGTTTTGAAATGCTTTTAACTCTACTTACCTGAATTTCGATCACCACTTTGCAAGCACAAACTAGCTAGTTGTGGGGAGCCTTCAATGTGTTAATTAACCTTTAAAAACCATAGCTTTCAAAAATCACATTCATATCATCATTTAACAAAACGCATAACTGCGCATTGTTATGAAAATATTCATAACAAATTCATCAAAACTCAAAATATTATGAGACCAGTGGTAAATAAAAGTACTCAAAACCCTCTTTTTAGAGCTACTACATGATAGGTTTTAGATTTTTCAAACCAACCAAAAACAGCCCGAAATCCATATTAAAGTATAATCTCGTCAGGAAAATGAAAGCTTCTTAACTGAACTTATAAAATTCATAACTAAATGTAGAAAAATCCATTTGGAGTGATTCAAAGACTCACGTAACGCTTGAGATGTTTACTTTAATAGAAAAATATAAGATCAGTCAAAATCATAAGTATATATGGCACGAAAACATAATCTACATAGGTTGTACAGAGGACTTATATTTGAACATTTCATCAAATACCTAGCATGCAGATCTTAATCTTCAAAGACCACTCTCAAATACATGAATCATCATCTTAATAAGAGTGTATCTTCAAATAATCATCAATAATATCAAGCTAAAATTATTAATTTCACCTAGAAACCAATATTTGAACCAAAACCTCAAGAAATTCGTTTTTAAGAGTTTACAACCAACATGCATGATAAACTCCATCAAAAATCTGAATCTCAAGTAGAATTTCAACATCGTAATCTCTGAAATCTTAGTTTCTAATATAAAAAAGAAGTTACCTCAAAGAAAAACGTGTTCCCAAGTGAATAGAAGCTCAAAACTTGGTGGTTATTTTTGGTTCTAGGTTGAAAATGAGTTGAGATGGGCTGGTTGAGTCTTTAGCTCATTCTCTCTTAAAAACCTAGGTTTGATTCTGAGTTTTGGGTGAGAAAATGAGTGAGAAGAGAGAAGAAAGTGCTATGGTCGGAGTTCTAGGGTTTTTTGCTGAAATAGACCCAAAAATGAAGTCTAAACTTGATAGAAACTAAGCAAAAGAAAAGTGGCCTTATAATAGAACAAGTGCCTAGGTTTTTCTAAGCCTCTAATAGCTATCATAACCTCATAAAATCAGCTCTAAAGTCTATTTTTCTTCTTCAATTAGGTGCCTAAAGTTCACTCAATTTGCTAACATAGACTTCTCACACCAAAAATTCAAAATAACAACTCTAAAGTCTATTTTTCTTCTTCAATTAGGTGCCTAAAGTTCACTCAATTTGCTAACATAGACTTCTCACACCAAAAATTCAAAATAACAACTCTAAAGTCTATTTTTCTTCTTCAATTAGGTGCCTAAAGTTCACTCAATTTACTAACATAGCCTTCTCTCACAAAAACTAAAAATAGCAACTAAGTCCTCAACACATTTACATAAAACCATATAATAAAAATATAAAATAATGATTCATCATTAAATCAATCATAATAGAGGTAAAATATCATATCAAATAATCATAATAAATATCATTTTTCTTCATAAGTTTAGCACATTGAGTTCCCACATCGAGCTAGTTGCACTGCACATTAAAACTGAAAACTCAATTAGCAAAGCTATAAGTTTAATAAAATCATATGATAGCTATAATAATAAAATATAATGCCAACAAATAACTTTTAGGTAAATGGTAAATGTGATGCATGATTTTAATTTACTAAATTTATTTATTATTAGCTTAAGGCTTAATTAAATCTCGGGTATTACAGGATTGAATTAAAGTTTGCCTTAACTATTGAATTAAGTAACCGTAGCTATTAATTAATAAACTAAATGATTTACTAATATACAATTATTTACTAAATACTAATTAATTGTTATTATAATAATTATTGTTAGTGCTACTAATTAGTTATTACTTACTAATAATTGGTAATTAAGATACTTACAATTATTAGCATATTACTAATATATTAATTACTAATATCCTAATTATTTTTACTAATTAATTACTTAATGTATCAATTAAATAACCAAACAGAGTTTTTAGAAACCTAACCAAACACAGTTTCACCTTTTCTTATACTCAAAAACAATCTCTTAGACAAACAACCGAACTTAATTTAGAAATTACTTAGCACTATTCCCAAAAAATTTCTTATTTCCTTTCTCAAACCCAAAACAAAACCATTTCAAAAGCACTTCCAAACAGGTCGATAAATTCCAAGTCTAAATGGATTCCAATTCTTTTACATCCACTATAAAACTTTTCAAGGTTTCTTCAATATCAAAAGTGGCCAGCAAAATTACAGTAACATTTTATTTCATAGCTATCTGGTTGGTAACAAGTTAAATTGTTTTCAACATGTACATGTTGCTTTTGATTTTGAAGGTGTTGGCCCAAAATGACTACCCAAAAGTGGGTGAATTGGATTTTAAAAATATTTTAAAAGTTTTATAATTATTAGAAAAGCTTATCACTAATATTCAATCTCAAGAATCAATATCATAATACACATTATGCAAAACTCAACAAAAAGGATTATCAACCAATTATGCATTGTAGATCTTCACAAATCAACTGAACATTTGCAATGAACAAAAAGAGCAAGGAGAGAAGAAATTTTAAACGAGATTTATAGTGATTTTGCGATAAGCCTACATCCACTGTCACCAAGCAATTTGAGTTTGACCAATTCCACTTTCTTGATCGTCTTTTTGGCACAATATCTCCAAGTACAAACGGTGACTTCTCTACCCGAGGTTCACCGCACCTTCAACGACTGTCAAGTTTCAATTTGGATGTTAGCTATCCTTTCCACACCAAATTAACTTAGGGATTGGCAACCTTACTCTTGATTTTTGTTTAGAAAGTTTGCTTCATTCAGGAATCTCTCCTAGTAATGTTTTGATACGAGTTTTCAAGCTAGGAGATATGTGAACACTCAATAAGTGCTTGTCAATGCCATTTTGCTCAAGAGTGTTTTTGTAATCAATGCTCTTTCTAAGCAGTAGTAAATGCCATTTTGCTTTGAAAAAGTATGAGAATGTTTTTGACAAGTTGAGATCTTTTGCATTAGTTATTTGATAATTTTAGACCTCAAAAACACTAATATATGGGGGAAAAAATATATCCAGTTTAAATTATACCGATCCACTGGACCCTCTCATGGGTTGACCAGAAATGCTTAAAACCCTCGAACAAGTCGACTGAAAATGTGCAGTGAAGAATTATCTCTCTACTGCTGATCCACTGCAAAAATTTGTCTTGTTTTTCATTTCCTATCAACTTGATCTTGATACAAAGAAAATTTATTCTCAATATCTTGATTGAGTACACGTTTATGTCTCAAAAAATACTTCTCTCTACTTTAAAAAATCACTATGAATAGATTTTTTTGCAATTTTGTAAAATGTGAATCTTTAAAGTGTGCGTGTTGAGTCAAAACCATTGAAACAAGAATTAAATGCTCACTCAAGCAATACAAGACTAAGATAACCTAGTAGACTAGTCCTGTGAATCTTCAAACTTCAAGCTCTTTATCCATCTTCAATCTTTTTCTTTCAAATCTTGAGTTGATCATAATTGTTAATTTTGCTTATAAAAATTCAAGATTAATTCTTTGTAATTTCACAATCAATTGTTTGTCATCATCAAAATTATCATTAATTAAACCTTGGGCCAGCAAAAAGTTCCTTAAATATTACACATTTCATGCTCTAGTATTTCTGTCAGATTCTACCAGTATCCTAAGGGATCTTTGTGTAACCAGGACATGGTCGTTTTTAAGCCACAAATATCTCAGCAGCAGCAACAACAGCAACAGATGCAACAACAGCAACAAATGCAACAACAACAACAACATCCTCAGCTACAACAACATCCCCAGTTGCAGCAACAACAACAGCTTCCTCAACTTCAACAACAGCAGCAACTTCCTCAACTGCAACAACAGCAGCAGCTTCCTCAACTACAACAGCAGCAGCAGCTTCCCCAACTACAACCACAACAGATGCCGCAATTACAACCGCAGCAGCAACAGCAGCTTCCCCAACTGCAACAGCAGCAGCAAATGCCGCAATTACAACAACCACAACAACTTCCGCCATTGCAACAGCAGCAACAAATGTCGCAATTGCAACAACAGCAACCACTTCCGCAGCTGCAACAACAACAGAATCAGCTGTCAGGACTTCAAACGCAGCAGCAACAGCTTCCTCAACTTCAACAGCTGCAGCAAATGCAGCAACAACAACAAATTCCACCGCAACAACAGATGGTAGGTACAGGAATGGGTCAAGCTTATGTTCAAGGTCCGGGTCGGTCACAGTTGGTTTCACAGGGACAAGCTTCGTCGCAAGTCCCACCTACCATGCCTGGAGGCTTTATGAGTTAAGAGCTGCTCGTTTAAGCAGGAAGGAAAAAGAGTGTCAATAGATTGTTAGGAAATTATCCTGAAAGGAACTCCGTTTAGAAGGTCATATAGGACCACTAAAAGCAGTAATTATCTCATCTTTGAACAACTAGTCAGTTTATGGATAGAATTTGTCCCTAATTGGACAGTAACTTATATAAGAAAAATAATCCTAGAAAAGATTGTCAGATTTTTTATGGTCACCAAAACTTATTGATAGAATCATTGTCTAAGTGCATAAAAATTTAGCTATCATTGCATTGTGCTGATCAGCTGATACAAAGAAATAAAGACATTCCTCCAAAAACTAGTGTTGAGCCATCTATAATTCTGATTTGGTAGTTCTCCGAGCTTTTAAACTAGAAAGTGGATTTATGCGCTCTAGACTGGCTACAAGTGAAGCAAATATGGTCAGCACCTTTCTCCCTGAAAATCAAATGTCAACCTATTTTTAGTTGTTTTGGTCTATTTATTATGGAAGCGTGACGCTTGTCAGTGGGTTATTTGCTTATAAATTGTGCATAAGATGCGATTTCTTTTGAGGTAAAGAGGTTCTTATATATGAGCAATCACTTTTGGCGATAGAAGCCACTGGGGTCACAAGCAAAAGAGAGATTGAGACCCCCACCAATTTTCGCATGATTAGCATCCTTCAACCTTTAATCATTATTCCCGAAACTAAAGCTCTCTTATTTAAGCCAACTGGTGTAAGTGTAATCATTGATTTTGGGATAGATTCAATTCACCAACCAATAATATATCTCATCATTGGGTCAATTTTCACTAAAGAAGAAAAAGAAGAGGAATTACTTATAAAGGTTTTCTCCACACCATTGATAAAAAATAATAAGAAGAGAGAAGATACATAAACTAGAGTTACAATGGACCCCGATGGTAGTTGGAAAAAGAAGAATTTTTCCACACCATTGATAAAAAATAAATAAATAAATAATAAGAATTTTCCCACGCCATTGATAAAAACAATAAGAAGAGAAGTTTTTGTACATGAGCAAAGAGTGATGGCAGTTGGCAAAAGCAAAATGCCAGACTCTCACTGAGAATTTGTTTTCACATGAAAGAGATATTACGGTACATGTATTTTTTTTCGATATGCATTTTTTTTCTGGATATACCATAGAGGTGAAAAGGAAGAGTCAAAAAGGATATTTTAATTAGAAAAAAAAAAACAGACAGCTAAATTAGGCCTTCTTTTACCCGTGGTTGGTAAATGGTATGACTTAACTTTTGATAAAAGAAAAAGCAACTATAAAAAGATATTTCTACCATTCCAATAATAATAAAAGAAAAATCTCACGTCTTTCATTCCCTTTTTATCACAATATACCAAAGCTTCCCCAAAAGCTATTTTTTTTTACACATCATTTATAGGAGTTTTGTTCAACTTAATTAATGCGGCTCTACTTGGAATTACATGATTGACCAGTAATTAAAGCTCGAGATGGAGCAATAACTAATGATTACATGTTTGTGGTAAGAATGTTTTTATTAGGTCTCTTTTATCTATACTCTCAGAGTTCGATACTCTACACCCGCGCGTTGCTACCCTGTCCTTTGTGAAAAATTAAGTGGGCTTTCACGGGACCCACGGGAGAGATTAGTTCAGATCCTTTCCATGTACTCAGTGGTCCTTAGAATTGCTTCTATAGCCGAAGAGGCTAGGGAACATGTAAGTACAGGGTAATTTAGCCACCTCAATTTGCTCCAAATAACTCGCACCACAAGCTATTTTCTCAATGACATTATGCCTTAAACCTAAGTGGATTTGAGTATTATGACTAGGAACACAAAATTACATGTGTATGTCGCAAGAAACAGTTATATTCTACGCAACACCTAACATATTTTGTTCACATTAATGTCACTAATGGGTTTACGTCTTTTCTGCCAAATTTATGGAGTAGTGGAATTTGTTACTTGACCTGAAATAATTACTCCATTTTGCTTTTACAACAATTGCCTCGTCTATTCATCTGGGTCAGTCTTGAAAAAGCAAAATCCCCAGCGGAAACACCAAAGCCAAACTCTATGATACTGAAGTGGGGACACTTGCTACTTCGATGAACATATCCCACTTTTCTCTCTATATTCCTTCACAGATTTTTTTTTTTTTTTAAAGGTCACCAACCACTATATATATGATGATCATGACCACTAGTTAGAACACTCACATAGAAAGCACTCTTTTCGTCCACCCTCAACTGCAAAAGAATGGTTTCAGCTTCTTCTCCTCCTCCAAAGGTGAGTTTGGTTATAGTTTCAAAATAGACATTACATGTACACACAAAATACTTGCAAGGGTAAAGTATTTTCTCTCACAAAAATTTTAAATTTCTGCTTAAATTTCTATTCAAATTTATGAAACGAATAGACTCAATAGTGTTTCGTTTATTTTTCATTCCATTTGTTGCAGGAACTAGTTCCTTCAGACAACAAATGGACAGAGGAGGACACGGCTGCTCGTCGAGCCAAATGGTGGTACTCCACCTTTCACACCGTCACCGCCATGATCGGCGCGGGCGTCCTCAGCCTGCCGTATGCCATGGCCTACTTAGGATGGTAATTAATCAAACTCCCTAAGAACAATTATCATGATCACACGCTTAACTTGAACGTTAATGGCAAAAATAAAATGAAAACACGAATAACAAACATGTTAGTGTACTAACTTTTTTTTTTTTTTGGCCTTTTTGTCTATGATATGAATTTTCAGGGGTCCAGGGATAATGGTTTTGGGACTATCTTGGTGCATGACCTTGAGAACATTGTGGCAGATGATACAACTCCACGAGTGTGTTCCTGGGACTCGCTTTGACAGGTACATAGATCTGGGCCGGCATGCATTTGGGCCTAAACTTGGGCCCTGGATTGTGCTCCCACAACAGCTGATTGTCCAGGTTGGGTGTGACATAGTGTATATGGTCACTGGAGGAAAGTGTCTCAAGCAATTCATGGAGATGGCATGCACAAATTGCACACAACTTAGGCAATCTTACTGGATTTTGATTTTTGGTGGCATCCATTTCTTCCTCTCTCAGCTTCCAAACTTTAATTCTGTTGCTGGTGTTTCCTTAGCAGCAGCAATTATGTCACTAAGGTGATTGTTGTTTCTTTTGTTTGATATATCCTAATTTTGAAAGCTACTCTTTGGGGTTGTGATGAGAGAAAAAAAAATTAGAAGTGAATAATTTGGATGAGTTTTTTCGAGTGGTTAGGGGGGCAAAAAAAAAATTCTTTACTTTCTGATTTTCTTTGGTGGAAATTGTAATCAATGAAGAAAATGACTAGATCTTCAGACTATTCACCTTTTAGAAATATTCCCCTTTAAATTCGCTTAATTAGAGTGATTATGAAAGTGAATTGTATTGTGAATTTGTGATTAATAAGCCATGCATGCAATTAGTTTCCTTACCATATTGATCATCAGAGAGATTGAAATTCTAGATATGAAATATTACCAAACCATGCATAATCTAGAAACTTAAGAATAATATGTTTACTCAACTTAGCCAAAACCCCAAATCCCAAGCCCTTATCATAGCACCACTACTTATAATGCTTTTAACTCCAAAAAAAAAAAAAAAAAAAAAAAAAAATTGTGTGACATTCAATTACTTTGATAATAAATCAAGTACAACACTTAATCTCTATTAGAAGACATAATCAAGCTTAGCCAGTTTCAACCACATAATTACTCATTTGGGTATTTATTTTGATGTTATGGTGCAGCTATTCAACCATAGCATGGGTGGGTTGCTTGGGCAAAGGCCGAATAGACAATGTGAGCTACGCATACAAAAAGACAAGCTCAGCAGATTACATGTTTCGGGTTTTCAATGCATTGGGCCAAATCTCCTTCGCATTTGCGGGCCATGCAGTGGCCCTTGAGATTCAGGCCACTATTCCATCGACCCCAGATAAGCCCTCCAAAGTGCCCATGTGGAATGGTGTAATTGGAGCCTACTTCATCAATGCAATTTGCTACTTCCCTGTGGCCCTAATTGGGTATTGGGGCTTTGGGCAAGACGTTGATGATAATGTGCTTGTGGGCCTCAGGAAGCCCGAATGGCTTATTGCTTCTGCCAATTTGATGGTTGTCGTCCATGTCATTGGTAGCTACCAGGTAACATATAATAAAAGCAATGGCATATGCTAGGTAGAAAAATGAAAAAATAAAAAATAAAAAAATAGTAAGAACTTGCTATTAAAGTATAAAAATGTTTTTTAGCTTAAAATACGCTAAAACATGTCTTGAGTGTGTGTATAGATTACTACATAATTAAAATTAGTATCAGTCAATTTAAGTCACAATTTAACGTCACAATATTAAATAGTATCAATCACATTAAAATTAGTAATATAATTGTATGATTGCTTGAAAACCATAAGTGATTATTTCTCATGTATCATGATTCTTTCTCTCTACATTTATATTGATATAATAAAATGAAGTAAAATGTATAGGTATATGCGATGCCGGTGTTCAACTTGTTGGAAAGGATGATGATGAAAAGACTAAACTTCCCACCCGGAATTCTACTTAGAGTGGTTGCTCGATCCGCTTATGTTGGTAAGATTCTTATACTTATATGTTTCTACGTTTGTGGGTTTGATTTACAACATTAAAAATGGTGATAATTTGATAGTTTTTTCTTCACTCATGAAGCACAAAAGATAAAGTTTTTTTTTTTTTTACTATAATTTCTTAACTTCAAAATCGTGCAGCATTCACTTTATTCGTTGGAGTGACCTTCCCATTTTTTGGAGACCTTCTTGGGTTCTTCGGTGGATTTGGTTTTACCCCCACTTCCTACTTTGTAAGAAAATTTATCGACAAATGTTATTCCATAATTTTCCTTTTTGTATAGATGAAATAAATAAATTACTTGCTTTATTCTAACTTGGTTTGCAGCTTCCTAGCATTATGTGGCTGATAATAAAAAAGCCAAAAAGATTCAGCACCAACTGGTTCATCAATTGGGTAAACTTAAATTTAAATTTAAGATAAATTTTATAAATTCTTTTTAAATTATATCACTTATGTCGACATATTGTTTGAATTTTAAAATGTATCCTCTAATCTATACCATTTTTTCAAATTTACCTCTAATTCGAGGATATGTTAACACAATTCAAATGCCGCTTTTCACCTACTTTCACTACAAAGGCCTAACTTTTTTTTAAAAATGTTTCTTCTGTTTTCTCAGGCTTCCATATATATAGGAGTGTTCATAATGGTGGCATCCACAATTGGTGGTCTGCGGAATATAATTATCGATGCATCAACATATAGCTTCTACACATGATTTATACATAGATATAGTCAATCTATATAATCTTGATGTTGGATCAAGTAATTATATTCTCTGTCCTGCTG